TCCTATAGTTAACTAGCCAAGAGTAATACTTAATGAAAAGAAAAGAAATAAAATAAGACTTAGGGTTTTCAAAAGCTATAGAACTTATTTACTATAGCTATCAAGGCTAGTTTGAGCTAAAGGAAATTATCGGTTGGAAAGTTTTAGGCAAAACACTAGATATTGAGTTTTATAATATAATACTAGTTGGGAAATATTTTTGATTACTTTGATCACAGTTACTCGAGTTCGCAAGGTCGATACAACTTCCACAGCTCCGATTCCGTTTCGAAATCATATTATGGATCAAAATATGGCAAAAATCACATAGCAAATTACTAAGGCTTCGTCAATCATTAGCCCTAGATTTCAACAAATGCATTTCTGATAAAAATAAAATGAACAACCAAGGTTTCATCAATCATTAGCACTTGGTTTCAGCAAGCCCATCATAAGCAAATAAAAATAAAAGTAATGCCTCCAAGACATTTCGGCAATTAACTTTCATCACCCAATAGTACTTATAAAGTCATTCAAATGGCCAAGGCTTCATAAATCATTAGCCCTTGACAACATCAATTACTTCCAACCACAATTTAATCCAGAATTTAAACCACAAGTAGCCTACAAGATCAAACCAAATCAAAATTTAGTTTCACGAAGAACAGGACATTCATACCAAACCAGTCTACTTCCAAGATTCACAGACAGCAGTACACATGGATGAAAAATACGAAATTTCTACAGGACAAAGGCCTATGACTCTAGTTTCAATGCCACTGACGGCGCCTTAAACGGATTTTTCTACACAAAGATATAAGCATTTTACTGAGACTGGTCAGGGACATCCGAAAATCTGAAATTTCAATTTTTCACTTGTGAAAACTCCTTTTTCTCTTTTAACACTAAAATGTTTTTATTCAAACCATCCATACACTTCTTATAGAACTTCAAAACAACATATTCCAAGCATTTCCATCCATCATGATTCAAGGAAACATTTAAAAATCAAGCTAAGATTCCAACTCAACCTTTGACTATCACATAAGAAATTCCAGCAACTAATATACTTTAGATCCAGTTTTTCCCTTGGTTTAAACAGGGTGTTAGGTACTCAAATTCAGCATTTAAACACTTAGCTAGCTATTAAAAATTTCCACTTCAAAACCAAATTCATTTAGTAACTAAAATCATCCAGAAAAATCCAGAAATAGTTTAAAATCCAAAAGAAAACAAACTGAAAATTTCTGATCAAACCTCTCGGCTATTCCAGAATTTTTCCAGCACTTGGGTGTTTATAAATCCAATTTTCCTCAGCTAAAACATGGTTTTAGATACCCAAATTAGTCATGCAAAAACTTATCTAGCTAATTAATATTTCCAATTCAAAATTTAACTTAAACAACAGCTGCAAATCCCCAAAACTTCCAGAAATTTTGTACAGCTAGCTTCGGACAAACATGCATGCAACAGATTGCATTTCTATTTTATTTTTCTGGTTTAAACTAACTAATTAGCTGCATGCAGAGCCTAATTAACTTGTTATTAACCATCTAATCATGGTTATAAGTTTAAACAACAACATCAACAACAACAACAACAAAATCGAACCAAGTTAGGCTGCAATAATCCAGCTAAGCTCTCGGTAGTTTCTATACTAGCACATATCAGAAATTCTTTTCTTAAAAATCTCATCCGGATGCCTAACCCCCACATGCAAGTTCTTAGATGACTTAACCTTATTGTTATTAGTTGGTTAAACACCAAATTGAGCTCAGATTATCGCAGGAAGTCAGAAATAAAATTACAAATTCAAACCAGTTCCTCGGCAGAAATTTTCTTAACCAAACCAGAAATTTTCTCTGCTTTAACACATCATCCGAATGCACAATTCAACATGCATGGTCTAAATCTTCAAGTCTTCACTCAGTTAAAGGCACTTAGGTGTTCAGATGCCACAGAAAAACACAAATGGAGTTGCATTATCTCCTCAAATTCTCGGTAGCAACATTTTGACAAAACAGAATTTTTTCTAATGGTTGGATTTCAACATCCGACTGCATAATCTGAACATGCAAGCTCAGATGTAGCTTGCTCAACTAATAATCATCCTACTTAGACCAGAAATTACCTCAGATAGCAGCTAATCCTTCACACGAAATATTCCAGAAATTTCTTCCCTAGCTCTCGGCCAAGTGCAGTCGGTGGATCCTGGCTCCTAAGTTGCGGCTGGAATTGGTTGTGGCTGGTGGATTTGAGGTCGGTTGGTTGGAGTTGGTGGGGATGAAGGTGCAAAATGGTGAAGCTTCCTGCAAATCTCCTCCCTGGCTTCACTCCAACTCACGGCAGGACCAGAAAATTTCTGGCAGCTCACGCTCGCTCCTCCTAGCTCTCGGATGTAGCTCACCAAGCAGCCCTCTCTCTCGGATGCTCTCGGTCAAGGCAGAGGAAGAGGTATGGTGTGGTTGTGGAGAGAGATTGCAGTGGTTTCGGTGGAGTGTGCAGAGAAGGAAATTGAGACTCGGTGATGGTGGTGTCTCGGTATCAAGAGAGAAAGCGGTTTGTGGTTTACTTGTGCAGAGAAGAAAGGAAGTTGCGGTTTGTGTTTGTGATATGAAATGTGAATTAGAGTGAATGGTTTTGTGGGTTTAGCCGTGAGATAGAAAGGATGGTTTGGTGGTGCCGTTGTTTAAGAAATAGAGGTTTCGTGTAAGAATCGATTTCGTATAACAATTGGTTGCGTATCGAATTGGTAATAGCAAATGTGATTTGATTTGCGGTCAGACGTCTTGTTTGGTTTGCATGGAAAGGTAAGGTAAGGGTATTTTAGTCTTTTCACTTTGCTCCCCAATCTCCACTTAATTTCTCAATTCCAACTTAATTCTAAAAATTATCCCCAAGTGCGATTTGAACGCCTAATTATACCCTAATAAACCTAAACCATTTTTTTTATCGAATAATTATCGCTTAAACTTGAATATTAAGGTTCCTAGTAATTCTTATATTATTTAGCGATTAAATTAATTATTAGAATTTCCAATTATTATTTCTCAAGGAATAGAGTTAGACTAACTCGAAATTTATCGATTTAGTAATATACAGTCGAGTGAAATAATAATTTAATCCAAGGGTGTCAATTTGCACATAAAAATTATTTTTACGCACTTATTTGAAAATAAAGAGAGATAAGGGTATATTTATTGAATTTTCACGCATTAAGTATGTTTAGTATATTAGAATCATATTTATCTAAAATTCATTGGTTTTTATCTTAACGCGGAAATTTTTTATTAACATTTACCATTAGGAACTAATTGGAATTAATCATAGGGCTTTAAATAATTTATTTTAAGATAGTAAATCTAACGATTCAATTATCATTAATTTAGCATAAAGGAATTAAGTATTCTAACATTTTATTTTAAGGCGAAAAATTATTCCAACCCTAAAGATATTAATTTAGTCAAATAAAATCAAGAAATTTCATAACTTTGGAAAATTATATTATTTTTCACGTAAACCTATTTTTACGTACTTAATTGTGAACAATTAAAAGTAATGCTAGAAGTTATTAAACAATAAAAGAAATGCAAATGAAATATGCACTAGCTTATATATATCCATTTTCAGGGTTCTCACACCAATGAGGTCAAGAATCAACAAAAGGGAGAATTGATTTAAATTATATATCAATTTAGCATACTATCACAGATCAGCATGTGCCAACAACATCTAAGCACCAACAATCAAAAATCACTATTTTGTTACTTGAAATGTCAAAATATACTGTGGTAAATGAAAAAAGCTTGCTCATAACTTTTCTTAATCAAGACATTGTTGGATAAAAAAAAAATAAGTGGAATGATTTTACACTACTAGTGTAATTGTTGCATTCTTGTGCAAAGACTTAAATAGTTGTATCAAAATTTTTGTTGTATTCCTTAACGGTAATTGATATCTAGTTCGTTATTAATGTCACTATGTAGTACAAATTCTCCTTTGAGACCGACTGTTGAGGCCAATTAGCATTTGATATCGGTTGCGACCTGCATTGACGTGCCCAAATAACTCAAGCTATTTTGCCAAAAAAAAAAAAAAGAAACTAAAATTTTTAATCAACGAGTTTTTTTTTTTTTGAGACAATCAACGAGTTAAATCAAGTTGCATTGGCCGTTGCTCGAACCCTAATTGTTTTTTGCAGTCAATTGAACTCTGAAAAAACGATATCGTCATCTTGAAGGACATATTTTTGTCAAGCCGGCTGGTTTCTGATATTATTATTGGTTAAGTTTGGGAAATCCTCTATCTTTTCTTTGTTTTGTAGAATTTAATAGATAAATACAGATTATATAACAGACCGAGTGTCATGCCTCGTGTGACAATGACAACGTTGTAAAACATATATAAAATAATAGTAAGAAGAGTAGAAATACCTAAAATAGTTGTAAAAGTGTTTAAAATGTAAGAAGAGTAGAAATACCTATAATATAGAGATAAAGAGATAAGATAATGATAGATTTGAGAGTTCTAGTAGTCAAGAGTCAATAATTCTGGAGTATTGATTGACAGATAGTACATGTAAGATGTTACCAATAATTTGTTATTAAGCATTTTGAACCCGTTACTTTTCACTAAAAATATTACTTGGTCAGCAGCTTAACATCCGGGTTATTACAAGTTAATTTTGTCTTGAAGCTTCCTTTTCTAACATACAATAACATTGCATAGGCTCTGCCTTTCTTTGTCTAATATATTTCTTACCACGTCAATCAACTTTTACTAGTTGCTTAAAATAAATAAAAATTCATGTGAAACGATAGAATCTTCAAATTTTTGGGTGCACGTTAAAAGGAAAACATCTTCCTTTTGTTGAAACTTCCATTTTTTGTATTGGCTGGTACCAAAGGGACAATTTATGAGCCACTACATCTAATGGCCCTATTGATATACATTTTTTATTGTCATGAAGATAAAAAGGCACAATAATATTGTAAGTGAAACAAAATCTTCAACTAATTCTTTCAGTTGTCTATTCTCAGGCGATCCAGTGGGCTTTTGCCGTCAAGTTTGGAGCTTGGAATCAGTCCGAAAAACTCCAGCAATCCTATTGTCTTGTATTGTGTTCCATTTTCTTTGACAAGCTCTGGTAGAGGACCGATTTTTGCTGTCAAATTTGCATTATGAAATGCAGCAATTGACAGCCTTTGTTTCTGGAAATCCACAACAGCTCTATGCTCTATGCTTCTATATTCCCCATTACTCATTATCTGCATTCCACCAAAAATAAAAGCAGCATGAACTGATAAGCAAGTTATAGATGTTCTTCAGAAGCACTCTTTAACTTTTTTTTTTCCAGTTGTTCTGTCTTTATCTATTCATTTACTGAGTTATTATCTTTTTGTGGTTAGGTACCTCCATCATATCACCAATGTTGACTATAATTGCTCCAGGAATGGGTTTAATAGGCACCCATGTATTGCTTTTCTTGATTTGCAGGCCTTGAACATCATTGACTTGAACTAATAAGGTCAGTCCTGTACCATCAGAGTGGGGAGAGGCACCGAAAACTTTGTCTGCTTGTCTGCAGGGTGGATAGTAATTCATTCTTATTCCTTGTATGCCGTCCTGATAAATGCTGCATAGTTTGCCTGGCTCCAGCCCAAGATTCGCCTCGATAAGTTTGAAGAGGCTCATGCAAACCTTGTGAATTTGAAGTGAGTATTCATCCAAGGTTGATCTGATATCATCAGAAAATTGCAGTTAGCATTGTGATGAAAGTTTTGCATACAATTTTTTGGCTTTTTGTCACTTCAAAAGTGCTTTGTGGCTTTCTAATGGAAGCAAAAGATGCTTCATAGTAAAGAAAAAAGAGTCTTCTGTTTTATATTGTGGGGGTATTTTGATGAAGAATACAAATATTAAAAAAGTGAATTATTTGAGTTTTTACGTTACATAAATGGGTAACGGCTATAACGGTCATAATATGAATGTGAATTTAACCATTACACAGTTAAAATAAATCATTATGTTTTGTAACTGAAATTTGTATGATGTCTAATTTAATTTACCTATTTATAACTCTTATTTTCCAAACCTATAAATAGAAGTTCTAGCAATAGATTACTTGCTTCTATCGTATATATAATTTTTTAAGTCTATCCCCTATAAAGGGATTCTTTTAATATTTTTTTACTACCACAAATATAATACATAAATGTGTTACTAGAGTATTATATGGGGCAAAGTACAGGACAGGTAGGTTTCTATGTTATTCTATTGGCATAAATAAGAGTGGATTATAGTGGAAAAAACTGTACTGCTGTATTCTGGAGGCTACCTACTGAAACTTATTACACCGGAAGATACTTTGTAGAAGTATTAGATCTTAAAGAGAGTTACCTAATACATGCCTCAACCCATACCAAACAAACATTATTGGTACAAATTATTTGCATTTTTTTATACAATATTGAAGTACGAGAATTTTTGTTAATTTCCTTGTTGAATTTAATTGGAGAAATTATTGTTACTTATATGATTATTTTAGCCCAAAACCAACATAATTGTGCACACATAGAGGATAAATTCCCATGAATTATGGGAGACTATCAAAGCAGAAAGGACCTTGACAAACAGACTAGCCATCAAGATTGATTAGGCTATTGAAGAGGCTGATTATAGAGCAGTAACTTGTTTTTCTTTTCGGTAGCGGGGATGGGGTTGAGTTTAAAAAACAAGGAGGGGGAAGAGGAGAGTGCAACCCATGACCTCTAATTCTTTGATATTCAATCTTAATCACAAGGCCAAGGTCTCCACGGCCGATAATAGAGTAAGATAAGTTTTCTGCAATAGTGGGAGAAAATTGTGATAATGTGTATTATTAATGGTTTACCTAAAAGATGTTGGAGAATTAGGCCAGAATCTCATGTTTCTTTGAGAAACTGACAATGGAAAGAGGAAAAGCATGTCCCCCCAGTCCAGCTTTTGTTCCTCTGATACAACAAATGTTTGACCATAGCCTTCAATATGGTTTGGTACTTGTGCACAGGCCATTTTCTGCTCTAATGGCAGCTTGAAGAAATCCTCTGTCACCACCTTCATTTTCTTGATTACCATTGAGGCGCCATGGTTGACTAACTGTTGCAGGATTAGTCATGGATCGATAATTAATTTGCAAGGGGAATTAATCTCAATATCTAAGTATTGCAAGTTATTCTAAACGAGGAAAACTTTCATACAAGGAAATTGTGCCTGGCAAAAGTCTGTGATTAACTTAACTGATAAGGTAGTATACAGAATTTTCTTGAATTTACCTGAAAGAAACCAAACTCTTTACAAGCCTGATGAAGTTTTGCCATCTCATTTTGGTATTCTGAATGACTAGTTGCAAGATTCTCCATATCAATCACTGGAACCTGTGTAGACTCATCGGTTGAAATTTCATCAAGGATCAGTTCAGGCTGAATATATCGATGTGGGATTTCTTTGGAGCAATTAGAAGCTAGTTCTTGCACATTCTCCACAGGGAGAGAACCAAGGTCAGGTCCATTTTTGGCTACCTCAGTTCCCATTGATCAATAATGTCCCAGATGTCAATCACGACTCCCCTAGTGCTTTTGTTGTTTGTTCGATCTTTGCCTTAATTCTATACTTCTATTTTGGACTCTAAACTATGCCTCCTTTCCGATTCTTATACTTGAAATCGTCTCATTTTAGCAAGTAAAAAACTATTATGCGTGCGTCTTTCTGTACCCAATTCAATGTCCCATGACTTTTTAATGTTGGAAACCTCATGATTCTCTATTACCTGCTCGATGATGTATCAGATACCAATCCAACCTCTTGTGATACTTACTATGCTATTTTTTTTTTTTTTTTTTTGTTTTGGCCGATACTGTGAGAGTGACTAAAAGGACAATTTATAAGCCACTAACAACCTCTGACTCTTTGAACATGCAACCAATTTAAGACCAAAATGGAGAAAGTTTATTGGTTGAAATTCCATTAATCATTATTCAGGTCGGATGAAAATTGAGAAAAGAACACATTACCTCACAACAATCTTTACAAGCCTATGAAGTTTTGCTTTGCAAGCTTTGCCATGCTAATCATTGGAATTTCTGAAGACTAGTCGATTGACATTTTATCAAGCATTAGGCTGGATATTTGAATTTTATTTTCATCAAACTTTAACCAAATTCTTCAAAGAGACGTAAGAATTAACATATTGTCATGTGATTTCATTTCTAGTTTTCGTATCCAAACCAATTGAAGAATTACCCTCAGCAGCATATGACATAATTAATTAGTTCATTAGTCCAATAATTCAGCATACACGGCCATTTTACAATTCATAGTCATCCCCTTTCACTTATTAAGTGGACTACCAAGAATAGTTGATAGAGTCCAATACCAATTATCCATGAACATTGCGGTACTTAATTTTTTTAATACAAAAATCAAATAACAATGATGAGGTGGACAGCAAAAATAACAAATGCATTTAACAAAATTTTCTAAATATAAGGTAATATTAAGATAGTTAATATTACCCATGTCCAGCTATTCATAAACAGGTATGAATAAATTTAACTAAATAAGTTTGTTTGCCACCTATAGTTATTGGATTTACCAGAGTTTTGAAGCTATGATTATTAGATTCCACCTACTGGTTATTATTATATATTTGATCACAATAGGAAATGACGTTTGCACCCTTTGCTCTTGATATAAATAACAGAAAAAGTCAATATTACCTAAAATGCATATCAAACTGTAAACTTGAAATGAATATCTTTATGGATTAATTTTTCTTATACTGACAGTGTATACACTGTCAACGTTGGATGAATGACAACAATGCAAAATTTGAATTTAAAATTCAACTTTTGCACACATGTCATGAATCAAACGGTGATAATGTATACACTGTCGGTGTATATAAGATTTACTCTATCTTTATTCGGAGAAGTTCAGTTCATTGTTCTAATGTTTGGCTCAAATTCAAATTTTGCATTGTTGTCATGAATCAAACGGTGATAATGTATACACTGTCAGTGTATATAAGATTTACTCTATCTTTATTCGGAGAAGTTCAGTTCATTGTTCTAATGTTTGGCTCATGTGCCAAAGTGGTTTTAATGTTTTGATCAAAATAAATTTGGTCACCAAAATTTCTCCTTTTTTCAAATTTAGGACAATAGATAATAATTCAATAATTCTCATGGTCAAAATCAATTTAGCTTAGCCAATAGTTTTGACTTTGCATTTTTGTCCCCACTATTTAGAGCATAGTTATTAAACCCGACCCGGCCCGACAGTTCAATCGGTCAATCCAGTGAACCGGTCATGAAACCAGGCTGGGTTGTTAATTGGATCGTTTGTACAAGAAACCCGTTGACTTGTCAACGAACCAGCGGTTCAACCGGTCAACTCGGTTGAACAGGACGGTTTTGTAAGAACCCGGTTGTTGTGTTAAAAATTTTTAGAAGATGTTGCAATGGAGAATCGAACCTCGGCCACAAGAATGAAGCGCGCTCAACACTGAACCAACAAAGTCATTTGGTGCTTGTTTTGCCCTTCTACATTATATATTAGACCTTTATTCTTATTTTATTTCTTCAAAACAAAATTTTTTTAGAATCTTTTAATAAAATTTTATTATTCCCCAAATTCTATAAGTTATGAATAGATTTAAAAAATAGCATATTACACAATTCATTTTAAAGACAAATATTATTCTTAATAACTTTTTGCACTTAAAATTCGTAAATAAACTAGATAACTATACTTAGATAAAATTTTATACTTGAAATTTGGTGGATTACTAATTAAATTTAGATTTTGTTAATTCGTATAAGAATTTGGTGGACTAACTGAGTATATACTATGACATAGTTTATTATAATTTCAACCATATTAATAATTATGAATTATAATATTTAAGTATATTTAGTGACCCACTGGTTGGACTACTCACCCACTGGTTGAACCAGTAACCTGTTGACCCACTTCTTTTACCGGGTTCCTCACCGGGCCAGGTTTACTAACTATGATTTAGAGTTTGAATTATTATAGTTTCTTAAGTTTTAAGTATGGATTAATTTTTCCTACACTGACGGTGTATACACTATCATCATTGGATTCATGACAACTATGTAAAAGATGAATTAGATCCAAGTTATTTTAGACGTGTGTTACGAATTCTAATCAAACTTCTTTTTCATTTTCTTTATTTTATTTGTTTATGCTACTATTTCTCATGTCTTTCTTCTCTTTTGGATTTATAATTGGTCTCAAATTGGGCATACTTCATTTGCTTATCATTTTGCACTATGAATAATTAATTGATCATGACTTTTCCCCTTTCTTTCACTTATATTAATTGTTAAACACCCAATTAAATATCTCTTTAAATTTTGAGCAAAATATACTGTATGTAATAATCTAACATATATTTTCTTTCTTTCTTTCTGTTTACATTTTAATAGATTATCAATTAAGTTTGAAATGAAATATTTATTGTATAAAATTATTTAGAATATGCAATAAATTTACTCACTTACATGAATGTCATAATAATTAATCACTTATCATTGGAAATTAGGTTCTAATATGAAGGGGAGACACAAAAGAAAAACTAAATTCCTTCAAATGATTCTAAATTCACATCCCCTTAGTCTAAATCCACACCCCTAGATTAGATGACAATAAAGCCCATAAGAGTTCAGTAGAAACTTTTTTCAATGCAAAAACTTGTCTTTTATGCAACAAGAAATGTTTAAAAAATTAATTACAAATTTTAATTAATTAAAATTATTTGATACCATCATCTAAATTATTGATCCGCTAGTTTTTTCTAAAATTATACTTTATTTGTCAACTTTGAAGTGCAATATCCCAAAGGTAAAAATATTTTCTTAACACAATTTTTTTAAAAAAAATTCTCTTCTATCCTCTTACATGATAAAAAGAGATAAAAACATTCTCACCACCAAATAAGAGGAAAAAAATAAATGCCATCAAAGTGAACGAAAAAAATGTCAGAAATTTTAGGACCATTCATAAGGATGTAAATTTTAAATTCAAATTAACACCATCTCTTTTCATCATAAAATAATTTTTTATTGAAAAATTTCTCCCAAGCCTCATAAATGCTATGGGTTTTGTTGGTGAATTTGGTTATAAGAGTGTGGATTTAGATTTAGAAGTTGCGGATTTAGCCCTACCTAATTCTTTTTTCAAAATTCATAAAAGCATCTAATATTCATACTTAACCTTCACTAGCTATTTTAATCATAATTTTTAACTAAAATAATTTCAAACATATGTTTAGAAGTATTGCAATAATTTATGCAATTATAGTTCAAATAAAGTTATGTATTAGAAGTATAACTAGTTGTACAGCTCGCAGAAGTGCGAGGCATGCCCAAAATTATAACCACAGTGAAATAATCTACAACAGCTCAATATAACTTTATCACGAACCTACAACAGCTCAATATGGCACTGTTCTTCTAAATAGTCTAATCGAAAATGAACTCCTACCCTGATGGCTTATGCTACTCAATCATGATGCATATCTCATACCAATGTTGTCATTTGAAGCAGAAGGCCATCCAAATATATTCCAATGGAAACATTTTTACAGTTTGATAAGGAGATATAGATTAGTTTGTCAAGTCTTCTTTGGCTTGCAACTATTGATTTTTTCTATAGGCAAAAATAAACTATTTTATTGATATGCAATCCTGCTGTACAAGAAGGAAAAAAAACTCCTCCTACATCTAAGATGCTTTAGTGATCAACACTATACACAAATTTGTCTCTCTATAGCTATTACTGCAACTATTACATTAGACACTCCATAGACAACCCCCATTCAATCATCAGCTGCCATTCTCTTGAGTTTGTGGAGCTTTAGGCTACGAAACAACCACCATTTGGACCACTCTAGTGATAGCTGTAAGGACTTATCTAGTACTTGTAGGTACATGTTGAAAAATCCTTCTATTCCTCTCCTACCAAAGACATCAAACAGTGACAGCTAGAGATAGCCTTCTAATCTTAGTAGCAAAGGAGTATGAACTACCATAGTGACACCACCAATCTACTTCTTGTTCTCAGGGTAAGCATCCCCTATGTAGCAAGCACAATCTTTGCACTTTATCCCACATGCACCTGGAGAAGGAACACTTGAAAAATAGATGTCTAACAAATTCAACCCCTTGATCACGTAACACACATCTAGAAAGTATATTAGTCACACCCCACTTGATAAGTCTATCTTTAGTTATCAACGTTTGCTGTAACATCAACTACAGAATAAATGCATACTTGGGAACAAAACCTTTTTCCCAAACCAAGGAATGCCATATCACTTTACTATCTGCCTGATAAAGTTTCTTCAAAGCAGATTTAATAGAATAGACACCTGAACCACATGCGGTCCACTTCATAAGATCCTCTCTATTCATTTGCTGCAACATAGAATTAGGAGTTGACTCTTGAAAGTCCTGAACTCTTGCATTCAACTTCCTTCCTTTAGGCTAGGACCACCTTCCATCCTTTA